CGGTGCTTGCGCTTGCGCCGCAGCGCGTCGACGTTGATCTCGTACTCGATGTAGTGCAGGAAGGCTGCGCGCGACACGCGGCGGCGACGCAGCCCGTACTCGTACTTTGTGCGGCGCTTGACGATGGCCCTGAGCTCCGGCTGTGTAAACAGCTTGCGGCGCTCGAGGTCCTCGAGCTCACCGACCATCTGCTCCAGATGGTACTGGACGACTTCGGCCATGATTGAGACTAGATGCGATGTGTAATTTGGTTGAAAAGAACAAAAAAAATGCTTTTGCAAATAAAATACAAAAGACCCACTGAGTATTTCCTTGGGAAAAAAAAAATTGTGCTTGATCGCTGATCCCCCGGTGATTTAGGCGCACCCCTCGTGCATGCGCGCTTAGCAAAGCCTGCATCAATCCCCACCCCGATTGAATGGCATGCGCGCCCGCAGAAACCCACGTCTGCATTTGCCCGATGGGAGATGGCTGCGGGCGCTGGGCAAAAAACGGGGCACTCTTACCTCGGTAAGTGCCTCAGCCATTGTCCAGGGCGATGCAAAAAGGCCGGGGCCCTCTCCCCCACCCGCGACTGCATGAGCCAGGCATGTCTCTTAACTCTGCGGCCCTAGACCGTCGTTATTGTATGCTATGTTTCTGCAAATGCGAAAATGAACGCTAAAGTCTATTTCCCCTCCCCCTTTCTTTCAAAAAGCACATCCATTCCTTTCTCCTCTTTGCGCTCACACTCCGCTGAACGATTGGACGGCCTAGCCTCCGTTCCCCCACTCATTAAATACTACTTGGCTGGGCGCTCCTCCTTTCTCTCTCTCTCCCGCCCAAACCCAAGAAACCCATTGGTTCTTCCTTTTTTTTAGCGGAGGTCAACATTCGTCCATTTTCAGCACCTGAAGACTGAATAAATCTGAGTTGCGCGGTCGTCGCCGCGCTGCTATTTGACAGGCCTCAATCGCCGCTAGAGTGGAAGGGTGGGGGACATCCGCTATGTGTTAATATTAGCGGGACTAAGCACTTCCTGTTTTTTTTCTCCTCCCGATACATATTCAAATACGTTTATATTATTGTTGTTGTTGTAATGGCTCTTGAACAGCAGCGCGCAGTGGTCCGCCACCTATCGCCATCGCCATCATCGTCCGATGGCACAGGGGTTGGGGAAGGGTCGATGGCAAAGCGGGCGCAAGTGAAGAACGCCTGCGTGCACTGCCAGCGCGCCTGCAAAAAATGCGACTCGGGTAGGCCATGCCAGCGCTGCGTGCGGTACAATCTAGCCGACACGTGTGTTGACTCGAAGCGCAAGCCCCGTATGCGGGGGATTAAGCGCGGGCCATACAAGAAGCGCAAGAAGGACACGACGACAGACAGCGGCAGCGGCAGCACTACCACGACTGTCCCTGCCCCCCCGGCCCGTGCGCTGAGGGCCCGCCCGCCCGTGCTGGGCCCCGGCGCCGTGGCCATTCTGCACCCCGACCCCCCGCACCACGAATGCGGCGGCGGCAGCTCGTCCGACACGCCGCTCGCCCGCCTGCCCCCGCCGCCACGCCCGCGCCAGCCGCCGCCCGCCACGCCTACCGCAGGCCTGTCGGCCGCCTTCAGCTCTCTGCCCGCGCCCTTCCGCCTGCCGCCCATCGAGTCGTTCGACCGCCCGCGCCCGCCTCCCACGCAAGAGCCGCCGCCAATGTCCCTGCTCCCGCCGCCGCTCAACCGCCTGCCACGCCCGCCCTCCGATATCCGCCAGTCATCCGAGCCACGCCTGCGCCCCCCGCCCACAGCCGAAGACAACGACCACTCGGCACGCCGTTACTGCGGATCTACTAATGAAAGCGACTCACATTCCTCTTGTCAGTCTGCTACGCCTGACTATATTGCCGCCACTAGTGTCCGATTGCGCCGCCTGGAGCGTCGCCTGCAACACACACACATTGACCACGACATGACTCCCGAATGAATCTTTATAGTACTTGTTTGTTTAATTTATGTTTGTTTTCTGCGCGTTTCCAACATCTGCCCCACTTTGGAATATATCGGTTTACCGTGTCGCATTATTTGTAAGTATTCCTTCAATTAGCACCGAATTCGACTAATAATATCCCCAGGCGCTTTAGCCTGAAATATCGTGATCCGCTGGTGTAGTTGGTTATCACATTCGCCTCACACGCGAAAGGTCGCCGGTTCGAGCCCGGCGTGGATCAACTTTTTATTATCCATTTGGCTGCTTGTGGCGCATGCATGTCCTTGCCTCTCGATGTGAACAGAATCGATGCGCCACAGGCTGTAAATTGTTTTTTTTTGCATTATTCCTGTGTATGATTCACAATGATTTGTCTTCTCAGCAAGATGTGGCGGGGCGGCGTTGCTTCACACAGGAAGAAGTTTTTGGTAGCCCAGAAGACGGGCGGCGGGCGGGCTCCATTTTTTCGCTCTTTCTTTCTGCGTGCCGCTATTATTTCTCTGCATCATTTTTTTAGCACTCCGTTCAGCATGAGCACCCGGCTGCCCTGGTCGTGTCCGTACTGCGGAATGCAGTTTGAAACCGCACTCGAAGCAACCGACCACGTACGCGAGTTTCACTTCTATCCAGACCTAGCCTCAAAATAACAAAATATATATTTCTTTTGCATTTGGCTTTAATAAAACAGTTAGCAGTCCAAGTAGTCGGCTGCCATTAATAGCTCTAGCGATAGCTCTAGATCAAACTTGAATTCGGGCACCCGTTCGGTTGAGCCTTCTGCGGCGTATCTGTACTTGTAAATCAAGTATTGGCACACCTTTTCCAATACTTTTCCTTTGATTTCGGGAAAGCTTATTTGGTTCGTTAGTGCCTCAGTAAAGGCTCCTCCGCGAGTAACGTCCAGCATGTTTTTAATCGTGGGGGATTGCTCAGCCACCGCCTTGTCAACGATAAACGCGAATCCGTCGCCGCTCGCCAGTTTAACCGTGGTGGCCACCGCCTGCTCGACGGCGCTACTAGAAGAAGACATGGTTAGGAGATAAAAGTATATATATAAAAAAGTGTTGTGCTCAGTGAAATGGCCAAAAGTCGTACACAAGATAACATTCTCATCCGCCTGCATCTTGCAACTACGGCACTTGTCACCTGATAAACACCAATAAACTATTAATAAATCAATAATTGTTACTACAGCAGCGTCTCGCCCAGAGAGCAGCGTACCAGCGAGCACCCAACAGCAACCGTCTGACGCAGGGACTCTGGGTCGCCCAGGGCCGGGTTAACCTCGACCAAGTCCATAGCAACCAGGCAGCCGGTCTCAGCCACCGCCTCGCATATATAGTGGCCCTCACGGAACGTCAGGCCGCCGCGTACCGGCGTTCCAGTAGCTGGAGCAACGGAAGGATCCAGGGCATCGACATCAAAGCTCATGTGGACCGGACGACTGCGATCCTTGTTGACGTGATCCAGGGCCATTTCCACCACACGGCCGATTCCATGCCGATCCACATCATGCATGCTAAACGCCTTGATGCCGTGTTTGCGCAGCAGGGCCTTTTCGCCGCTATCGACGTCACGCAGTCCAATGTACACCAGGCTGTCGGCGCGTATGCACGGCTTGATCCAATCAAACACCTGGGTGGCCGGCGTGTCGGGCTCACACAGGCCCAGGAGGAACGATAGCGGGCAGCCATGCAGGTTGCCGGAGTCCGTGGTGGCCGGCGTGTTGATGTCGGCGTGCGCGTCGATCCACAGCACACACAGGTCGGGGTACACCGCCGTGCTCCCGGCCAGCGTGCCCATGGCGATCGAGTGGTCGCCGCCCAGCGTCAGCGCCAGGGAGCCCTTGGCGCAGTGCGCGCGCACTTGCTCCGACACGCGCCGCGCCGCCATCGACACGTACCGCGCGTTCTTGAGCTTGCCCACTGCCGGATCGCTTGCCGGCTGCATGGTGCGGTACTTGTCCATGCCCTCGCTGATATCCACCTGGTACCCCATTCCCTCGATCTGATCAACCAGGCCAAACCTGATCATCTCCACCGGCCCATCGTCTACTCCACCCTTGGGCTGTCCACCGCTGAATGGCACGCAGGTGATGCCGATGGTCTGCGCGTTCTTGAGGAACTTTGACCGCTCGGCCATTAGTTGAGCATCGGAAACCGTCATAGTATCTAGTACACCTAAAATGAAAAAAGTTGGCAAAGTTAACGCGCTTTAAGCAGGAAACGGAAAAGGTGGGATAAAGTGGAACAAATAAACCTCAGAGAGAGCAAAGGGAGGAGGAGGAAGGAGGGGGCCCCCTTTTATAGGCTGGCACGGAAAAAGCGGGTGTGGGAACTGAACGGGAGCTTGTCTTTTCTCCCATGGTCATTCGGCGCTATTTCTGTTGCGCCTCCCCCTTTATTATTTCTTCTTCTCCTCCGCCTCCGCGTTCCTCTTTGCCACTCTTTTGCTCGGATATAGAGCGTGGGAGACAAATCTCCCAATCGATAAAGGGGGTCACACAACCACCACCTTCCTCCTTGTCGTTGTCGTCAGCCAATCGATGGCGCGCCGCTAATAATGAGGTAATAGAGCCAAATACGGACACTGACTCTTGTCACATATTGGCTTTAATAGAGCCAGTGTGTGTGGTTTCGGTGTTGCTGAAGATGTAAAAAAAAAAAATTGAAGGAGAAATCGTGCACAAAGCTATCCATTCATCTGGCGAGGGCCGTCTTGTATGCCTGGACGCTGGCAGCCGAGGCCACAACAAACGGCGCCTTGGCGGCATCAGACATGGCGCTCCACTGTGCGCCGAGAGCCTTGGCCTGCTCGCCTAGCCCCAGGCCCTTGTCGCTGAGATTGGCCATTCCCTGGCGGATAAACACCGTGTACGCCGAGTCCGGGCGCTTGGGAGCCAGCGGGTTCCGGAGCAGGGGCAGGCGGCGGCCCTGCAGCTCCTTGCTCGCCACGCGGCGGTTGTACCGGCGGCGGCGCTTGTTCTCCAGCGCAACAAGCTCGCTGTCCACCGATGCCCACCACTCGCGGACGCGCTGCTCGTTGGTGACGCTTAACGCGTCGGCGCGCGCCACGTACCTCTGCTTCTCTGCGTCGCCCAGCGTCCTCCACAAATGCGAAATCTCGCGCGCCGCGCCCATAAAGACGTCGGCCGGCTGCGCAGCCTCGCTCGCCGTCGACGCGCTCTTCGTCTTGAACCACATGTCCTTCACAAACAGCCCGTACGCGGTAGGAGCCCCCTTTGGCACCTTGATCAGCGCTATAATAAAAATAAACAATAAATTAGTGGGGGTGTCAAAAAAGCATACATAGCAGAAATAATATAGCAAGGTACTTACGCGAACGCTGGTTGATCATTTCTACACCCGAAAGAGAAAACGGACAGTTGTACGGCACGTTTAATATGACGCAAAATAAACAACAACCCCAAAAAAGTCATTGCAATAATAATAGAAACTTACTCTCAAGCAAGGCTGACTTTGAAGAGGGCTCCTTCTTGGCCTTTTTCGCAGCAGCCTTCTTTGGCTTGGCTGCACGCTTCGGCTTGGCCGACCTCTTTGGCGCAGCAGCCACCGATGAGGCGCCAGACTTTCCGGCAGTCTTTTTTCCCTTGGCGCGAGTGCTACTAGCAGTAGGCTTTGCAACAGCGGTCTTGCTTCTCAAGGCCGACACGCTAAATGCGCGCACCGCCGTCGGAGCAGCAAGGCTTCGGGCAACTGAGCGCTGGGAGAGGGCGAGAAGCGCACGCGACAGCAGCATTTGGGCGAATAAATGAATAAAATCAAAAGTATTTGTGAATTTGTCTGAGAAAAGCTGTTTTTCCAGAGAAGAGAGCCGGGGAGAGAGAAAAGGGGGCTGAGAATCTGGATTCTTGCCCAGCAGGACTGGGGGAATGATTCTGCGCTCCCAAAACCGCAGTGGCCACAGAGTCAGCAGCAGAAGGCGCGAAGAGAGCTCCCCCCATGCGCATGCGCACACAGCCCGCAGACCTGCACGTGAGTCAACTCGTCAACACTAACTAGCTTCTTATTTATGGCAATGGTCAAGAAAGGATCAAGCAAGCGTGGCGGCGATGACAAGGTGCGCGCAGGCAAAATCGAAAAGAAAAGGCAGCCCACTACCAACGCTAACGCACAGGCTATAGCCAGTGAAATCGACGACATTTTCGCCGCCAAAAAGCAAGCAGCGCCCGCCGCAGCGGCGGCTGAGCCTTTGGAAGACGCAGTAGCAGTTGTTGCTAAAGCCTCTGCCACGTCAGGCGTCGCTGTCGTCGACGCGACAGCTGCGGCCAGCTCAGTGCAGCAGCAAAAAATGGTCAAGCCCAAGAACGACGACTTTGCCGATTCGCGCGGCAAGTCGTCAAAGTACACCGAAGACGGCCTGCGCGTCTACTACATGGACGATCTGCGCATTGGCGAGGGCGAAGGCGACACGCCCGAGTGTCCGTTCGACTGCAACTGCTGCTTCTAGGCAAAAAAATGTTTGGATGGAATAAACGAACTCAAAAAAGATGGTTGGGACTTCCGTGGATCGAACACGGGACCTTATGATCTTCAGTCACACGCTCTCCCAGCTGAGC